TTGCCTGTGAAGGAGTGTGTGTCGACTATGTTTACTTGGCTCCCATCCACATGCCTCCCGGTCTTATTTCTTCGGGTTTACACTGGATATGGAATGTGTGGTTGGAGCTGTGGGTGATGCAGCGCCAGCCACCCATGCTCCCTCTGTAGTCGCCGGCGTACTGCGGCTGGCTACAGTGACAGGCAAATCCGAAACCGGATGTCGCCAACCATATATATATATATATATATATATATATATATATATATATATATATATATTTACAATTTGCTTTGACATATTTCAGAAACGTCTCCTTGACAATGAATAGATTTCGGCAGTACGCCGTGAAATACGTGTCGTTTAGATTTATCGGATCGCCTCCAAATCCCACTCTACTTATGTGTTCAACTTGCCAGAACACTTTCAATTAAAAGTAGGCGACCAAGTAAGTGGAAAATTTTTCTGGAAGTGTTCATGAAAACGAAAGCCTGAAAGTCTGTGGATGTTTTTGGTAGCTGCGTAATTGCTTCGTGGAAATACCAACTTTCCGAAAAGTTTGAGTACAGCTGGTTAGTATAGTTTGTGGACAACGTTTCGCTTTTGACACAAGCTTCGTCAGCTTGAGTGAATCACTCGAGTATTGGTATAGCATAGCGAACCGGAAAGATAGTCTCGACGAATGGGATGTAGGCAGAAAGTCAATTGCGGTACAAGTCAATCCATCACTCCAATTAGTGCATGGAACGGTTTTGATTGCTCTGCCTTACGAGGTCACACACGTAAGCCCTGTTAACGATTGGTGCAGGGACGATATGATGTTCATTCTCTGCTCTGGATCCGTCCATTGGGCTCTTCAGTCTTGTCGGATTAAGACAGCTCGTCACACGTTCGGAAACTGTGCCGCGTCCATTCTGTTCACACATCTGTTCACCTTGCTAATCTCAACTGCCTCAGCAATCAGCCTTTGGGGCGTTTATCGTAACTCTTTTCTAACGATTTTGACGTTATTCAAGTTGATCTCACGACCAGCATCTATCGCATGCATCGCTATTGCTGAACACCTAATTAGAGCCCCATATTCAAGCTCGTTTCTCGCTGACCTCGTTATGCGTCTCTTGTGTTCTGCTATCCTTGTGCGTAGCTCTCTCGCGGTTTGGCCTATGTATACGTGTGCACAGTACAACTAAGTTTGTAGATGCAATTAGTTGTCCTGTCTGCGGGAAGTGGTGTTTTCAAGTACCCCAGTGTCGAGCGGAGCGTTTGGCCTTTTTGGAAAATTACCCTTATATTTTCTTTGTTTAGGACCTTCCGGATGGCTCCCGAAGTTCCATCTTTATAAGGAATACCTACCATCCCAATCCACTCCGTAGTTCGCGGCGAGTGAGGGTTTAAAGTTCGCTGCAACTGGCGTTGCACTAATCGCCTTGAGTATCCACTACCAAGCAATTGGTTCATGGCTTCTTTCCTGGCGGTCTTCCTATCTTCTTCCTCTGTGCACAGGGTCTGGGATCTGCGAAACAGAGATGAGGCGATTCCAGCATACACATGCTTTGGGTGACCTGAACCATAGTGGAGTACACCATTTGTGTTTCTTGGCTTACGATATATCGTTGTTTTTAGCTACCCCCCTTCGCGTGAACTAAGCAGTCAAGGAATGGCAATGTGCCACTGCAAGATTCCAATTCGATAGTGAAATTTATATTCTTCGCAAGTGTTCAAGCGGTTTAGAAACACGTCTTTCTTATCTCGTTTTATGATAAAAATGGTGTCATCCACGTTGCGCCACCAAATGTTCGGTTAGTTACAAATTTGTCAGTACAGGGGATATTGGCGATATCATGGCAAGTCCCTGTTTCTGAGTGTATAGTCAAGATTGGAACTTGAAATAAGACATGTTAAGGCACAGTGTCATTCGTTCCGTTATTTGATCTGCCGTAAGCTTTGTCCTCTCTCCCAGACTACTGTCCCCAGTTCGACGGTGCTTCGCTATTTCTAATGATCGCATGTTGGCACGTTGGTAAACGAGCTAACTTCGAAACTGACCATCATTTCATCCGACTCAATTTCAAGAGCCGACACCTTTCTCGCAAAGTCATAAGAGTTCCTTACGAACGTATTTGTTTGCCCTGTCAAGAGTTGCAATATGCTGGCCAAATATCTAGCTAGTTCATGCGTCGGGGAACTTATGCCATCTGCAGTAGGTCGAATGGGTACATCGGGCTTATGTATTTTCGGCAAGCCATACAGGAAATGGTTTATGACTGGGCAAAAATGGCGCATGGACTTACGCTGTCTTATAAAATCAGCAAGTTGATTGCCAAACTTTGCATGCCACATAATATTTCAGAACTTATTGTCTTGCCTTCAATATCAATAATACTGTCTGACCTGATAAATAAGAACCCATTAGAAGCTTTTCAATCCATTCTGCTCAGCAACTCGACTGTATCCAAGTGAACAGATTAGATCGCTCAGGACGTAGAAAGTACCTTAGTAAATCTAATACAGTTCAGGATATTTTCGTTAAAAGTAGATAAATCTACTTTATCTAGTAACCGCGCTCTTCTCGTGGCATATGTCCGATTCTTCATTGATAATTACTTACTGGAAGAGATTCTGTTTGTCAGGAGAGTTAAAACTCATGCAAATGACCAGTCAATATTGAACGTAGTCAATGGCTATCTGACTGAGAACTACATTCCGATCATAACATAGTTGTAAGTGCGACAGATGGTGCTGCCGCAACGGTTGGAAGATATAAAGGATTTATTACCCATCTAGAAAATGTCCTCCATTTTGTTCATATAATTTACTGTGTGATTCATTCAGCGCACCGAGTGACTTAGAACTTACGAGGGCGCTTAAACGTTTCACTGTCAAGTGTTTCAACTCGCGCCCTCTTCAAGATCGTCTTATCCAGCAGCTGTGTTAGGATAAAAAGTGGAGAATTTCTAGGTACTCTTGTTGCATACAGGTTAGATGGCTCTACAAGGGCAATTGTTTTTGCCGTTATGTTGCACTCTGGGATGCCATCCTCACGTTTCTTTCTGGAACTGATTATGAATGAAAACTATGTACAGCTAAGCCAGACGTATTTTGACTGGCTGATGTTTTTGGAAAACAACTTTTTAAATAAAATTTCACAACAAGTTTAATAATCTCATTTCGAGCAAAGAAGCCGTTAGCGCTTTTCTTCAAAAGCTGGAACTGTTCGCTCAAAACATCGGACGTCGCGAATTTTCACAGTTCGCGTTTCTCGCTACAGTCACTGAGAAGCCAAAGGAAGACGGTTTGCTTGTTTATGCCAAACAGCTTCGAAAGGAAATGAAAGATAGTTTTATAATGATTAGCTTGACACTGTAATCCCGATTTGGATTTTGGATCCATTTGATCTACAACCACGCGATGTTGGAGTTAGAACCCAGAGAAGTCTCATAGAGCTCCAAAGTGACACACTGGAAGTATCCAACTTCACGCAATATAGAAGGGATAGTCGAATAAAGGTTGATGCCCGTAACCGACATCCCAAACTTGGGGCAATAGGTCTTCCATCCGGATGGAAATTCAGCAGAGTGGTTTCTGTAACAAAAAGTGGAAATAGATTGGACATCATAACTGTGACTCTCCCTTTCAAGTTTGGGGCGGACAACAGCAAGCTTTCTCAAGGACATCAGACTCAGGAGTAGCATTAATATCTCGACAAACTTATTGTTACGTAGTTACTACACCTAATTCATGACATGTTTTACAGTTATAAGCCAACAACAACTAGGTGGAATTTTAAATATTAATGGTGACTTTTGTGCAATTACAAACAAGTGGCTTGATGTTGCCGCACAATGCATGTTATCTTGAAGCTGTGAACTTAGCAAATTAAGGTTTATGTGGAAAAGAGCAGTGATACCAACCTTAATGATTTGCTACCATACAAATGATGCCAATATGACCACCGGAAATCATAGATTTACGTCTGTCAGGCGTTGCGAATTTCTGAAATTGGGGTGATCAAGGGTGAGGGCCTTAAGCAAAGATTCAAAAGGGGCCATGGCTGAATAAAGCTTGAGCATGCCTGGCCTAGACATCGGCTTGTGTACGTCTGGTATGCCTGATTCCCCACAATGCTGGACAGAAATGCTTCTGCTGTGCATATTGAAGGAATTTGGGCCGGATCCGTTGATGAAACCCAACTCCCATCCACATGCTACCCGGTCTTATTCCTGCGGGTTTCCACTGCATATGGGTTGTGTGGATAGAGCTGTGGATGTTGCAGCGGAAGCCACCCATGGTCCCACTGTAGGTACAGGCGTCATATGACTGTCTCCATGGATGCCGCAGTGTCAGGTACATCCGGAATCGGATGCGCCATTCGTATACACATGACTCATGTCATTTTAACATATCAGTTCTCTCTTGAGTGAACTCACACACGTCTACTTTTGCAGGTGTACATAATTTGTTTGTATGGATTCAATTCGTTATCGGACAATTCGGTGCTTCTCCCATTCATCACTGCGCTCCATGCATCAACGCTGGATTGATTTATTTTCGTGGTCAGATTAGCTGAGATTGGCTTAGTAATCACTATGTTCAACTTAGGTTAACGCATGGCATTTGAAGATATCTGGTCTTTCGAAGACTCAAAGTAACTGCTATGTTTCTCCTTAATCAGTTTTTGAACACGACGTAAATTCTCATAGTTTGCTTGCATCACTTCCAGCATAATATCTTGCAAATGCTTAATTTTATTATCGTGTCCAAATTCCAGTTAATACTAAACTTTGTCACCTTAAGAACTGCTTGATATTTACCTGACATATCATTGTGTATCCCTTCATCTTGAAAGCTGTTTGTGCTGGGCTCATCTTGGGTTGTCTCAAGTAGACGGCAAACGAGTTTATTGATCCAGCTGATTGATCAATGCAAAAATGATTGGGGCTGTTCTTACTTGTGCATGTTGCAGCACGTCGGAATTTGCACTCTTTCTTGCTTTTTACTACCTTTTTTTCTTTTAATTACAGGTCGCAAGACACTCCTATCCATGCACATTCTCCATCCAACACTGAGTCCCGTATTGTCTCATGGTTGCACTCCTTATTAGCCCAGCGAGATGAACCTCACCTTCCGGTGTCCACGTCTGGTGGACAAACGGATGCTCAGTCTATTATGTCGTTGGATAGACCCTACATTGAGCCGTTATTATTACTGGCAGTCCTTTTTCATACTAATCAACCTGGACCCATCACGGAACTCATTTCAACGTTGCTTGGGCTTCGGATCCCCTCTCTGGGCAGAACTGTGAATGCTTGGCGCAAAATATTTCTTCAGTCTGTGTTCACAGAACAGGTGCGCGACGTCTGTGTTATACGTCATTTTAGTCGTTTCATTGTTCCATAGCAACACGCCACTCGAATATTTCCTCAGGATCGGTAACGTGCCTTCACTAAAGTGATTGATTGTTTTAACTCCATCACAATGAGTCCAAACCTTATCTTGGTGCAACCGTTTGCCTCCTTCGATGATCCATAGAGATATGCTGTGTGATGCTTCTTGCACCAACAGTATCATCCATACCCGATTGTTCAAACAAACTCAGTCTCCTGATCCTCTAGATTTGGGGTTATGGGGTTTAAGGTTTCTTGTCCTTTAGAATGGACTCACTCTTGCTCACTGCCAAAATCCCTCTGCCTTGCGGTCAGGTTTTCGAGACAAATGCTTTGGTGTGGAACCCAATCGTTCTCATATACCGTTCCAACTAACATGACAGTATCCGTTCCAGTAATACAATGGACTATTCTGCAAACAATTTCTTGGTACTCTGGCCGTCTCAGAGAATGATTCACGGTGCTTTATCTGTTGCATCAAGCGGGGTGGACCGTTGTGAGCATGCTATTGTTCAAGCCTGACCGTCTTCTTCCCCCCTCTTACGGCTTCTCATCCCTACCACTCAGATTCATTTTTATCCTGCCTGTTTCAACTCCCCGACCTTTGTCTCCTCCTTACCTAACTGTGATGAGTGTCCTCTAGTTTCAACTCACACGCAGTTGAAGAGCGTCACTCCAGTCCAGTCGACAAGTCTATATGTCCAACCAAACGGACGAGTTCATCCGCTTCTGTCTGGAGTTTTCGATCCTCACTAAGACTGGCACGCTTCAAAGTGCATGCTCTGTCATAGCTTGGCCAACAAGCAATCCTTGTCGGAACAGTAGAGACCCTAACGATCGATACGTGCTTATTGCCGCTGTTTCATTTTTTTCTTTTGTATTACGGCACAGTAGCTGTGTTTTCCGCCTGCAGCTAACGTGTATACTAATGATGATGCTTACCGAAAACCCATTTGTACGGCGACTTATGTGCTCAGTCGATACTTACCTGCATGTGACTGTTAAGACTTTTCACTGCTTATATCCAGAGATAATTAGCCTGCGAGTGCCCATCATTCAGTGTGGATGTTACCCTGAGCATCTGAACTGAAGCTATTCTGATAGACTGGATCCTAGTCAGTAGCTGGGTGTGCGCCGTCCGATTGCTTGGATCCTTCAAAGCTTTGTCACAAACGAAACGCTGGTAATTTAAATCTTCAAGATATAAAGTTTTTGACTAGCTAGCTTCATCTGGCTGGCCAACATGATGTAAGATCTAGTAATGATAATAGTGAGTTGTTGCTACATCTATATGAATATGGTTCTCTATTTCTCGCGAGCACCCGCCGTAGGATGACAAAGCACCCGCCAGCCTCGGATCAACCGTTAATGCAAACCGATCACATCGCGATTAGTTACCGCTAGAAAGGCTGCGTCCGAGACTGTCACTCGATTTGGTGTAGATGTGTGGAAACTAACTATGCAACTGGCGTAGCCAGCTGTTTTGTTTACGTATCACAGTACGCTGACATTCGAGTTGAGTAAGCGCTCACTGTGCGCGGGTGACGGCCACTGGTCGCATATTCACCAGATGTTATTAGCATCAGGCATCCCTTCATGTGTCAATTTCAATTTCCAATCTGAATATTGGGTCTCTAAGCAGTCTCTGGAACTTATCCATGCTCGTCGGCGATTTCCCGCTGGAGTCGAATACAGTGAAACTCTCAAACCTATCAGGGCGATACTGTGTGGTAGCCTGAAGAGGGACCGAGAAGCTTGGTGCTCTTCTTGTGCATCGGAGTTGGAGACAACCGATGTCATTGATAACCATCTGAACTTATTCCGATTGATATGCGAAACGGACAGCAGGAGAGCTGGTTTCAGCGAGACCATATACGGCAAGAGTGGACAGGTCATCCACAACTTGTTCAAACGTTTGAAGCGTTGCGCTGAACAATTTGAAAAGCAATTCACCCTAACATTGATCATCTTGCTCCGTGGGCAATCCATCTGATTACGCCCTATCGTTCAAAATTCTACGTGTGATCTGACTGCTGAAGTTGAATAAGGCCAGTGGACTAAAAAAAATTCCTCCAGTCCTCTTCATTTTCGGGAATCTGAAATTGCGGACGACCTACTCGATTTCCGGTGGTCAACCACAGGACGCCTGTGCCTACAGACGGACCATGGGTGGCTTGCGCTGCACCACACACCCCATATCCACTGTAAACCCGAAGTAAAAAGACCGGGAGGCTGTGGATGGGAGCCAGGTTTTATCAGCGGAGCCGGCCCACATTCCTCCACAGGCAAACACAAGCACGCTGTATTTGGGGAATCAAACGCATACAAGGCGGTGACTGGACCGTAGTCCGGTCCACACTGAGTGCATGGACCGCTCTTCCAGCCTAGCACGACCAAAAAGACCGTGCACCCCGTCCCCTCCAGCAACGGCCAGCTGTCTCCTGGAGCCAGTATGAACGAGGCAGTGGGTAATAGACAGGTAGGCACCTTGTCAACATGCACATCAAGCGCAGCCTCTCCGGGGACTTCAAGCAACAGACAATCACTTGAAACGACAAGATGAAATAAAATAAATCGGATAATGTATACAGATATGCTGACATAGCTCTTTAATAAATGAGCATATGAAATCAATAGGTTACCAAACTATCCGCCTTAGTGCCGTCGTCAGAACATATATTCTAAGAAAATGCCACAAACGCGAAAATGTTATCAATGTTGACTACAATTAACTTGAGCGACGTGTGCAAGTTAATAGAAGATAGTTCACGTAGTCAATAATGAGGCAATATATCAAACCCACCATCTGAAATAAAGAGACCCAGCGTGCAACTAAGCGGATAGTAAATCGAATGCAGCGTACCTACAAACGCTGCGCCGGTGCTGCCTACGTTCTCTGCAGGACCCGTCATCGCTTCGGTGGCCTAGTGGTATACACGTCTGGTTTGCAACCATAAGGTCACCGGTTCGAATCCGCGTAGGGGCGGGCGTCCTCGCGGTATACTCAGCCCACGGGCGACTGGTGGTGGTCGCGTTGCATCGATGCGCCGTTACGGCATACAGCTGACGACTTATTTATTCCGTCGCAACGAGACTGGACCTTAACGTGGTGCGACGGTTTGCGTACCTCTTTGACCCATTGAGCTATACTGGGTTGTGCCTCCGGACACCTTGTGAGCTACTCCTACCACTTTGCTCAATGGTGAGAGGTCAGACAAACTCAGTCTCCTGGTCCTCCAGGTTGGGGGTTTGAAATGGGATGGCGTCCATTTCTGTAAAACTAAATCATTGCCACCTTCTCGCTGCCTTGCGGACAGGCTTTTGAGCCAACTCTTTGGATGAGGACCCTAATCTTCCTCTTGTCTAGGTCTGGGCGCCCTTGCAGTATCTCAGCCCACATACAACCATGACATCTTCTTCAAACATAAACTTCATCTTGCATCGGCCGTCGCGCAGATTACCAAGGGTCGCCTTATCTGTTGCATACAGCAGGGCGAATAAGCGAAAATTTGCTACTGTTGGCGCCTCCCTTCTTTCTTTTCCACCTGGTTCTCTTACTCCCATCCTGACCCCCATCACTCACCTTCCTTCTATACTTCTCAGCTTAATTAACCGCAACGGAAGTGCCACTGGAGTAGAACCATCTGCAGCCACCATCCCACAGCACCTATCGGACGCCTATCGGCAAAAGTCCCTTATAAGGCCACGCTGTCCCGTTTCCATGGCGACATTCAACGTCCGCACTCTAAGACAAACAGGTCAGCAGGCTGCACTCGCACGCGCCTTGGACACACTGAGTATTGATGTGTGTTCTGTGTCCGAAACTATGATCAATGACCCTAACAGGGTTGTTGAATTATCTGTACCCGACTTATCCTCTCGTTATTGGTTGCACGCATCCGGAGACGCCGATGCAGCACTCACGGGTCAAGCTGGTGTAGGTATCATTCTAAGCTCCAAGGCTGAGCCATCGTTGCGTGATTGGATTCCGGTGAACAGCCGTTTATGTGCAGCCCGTTTGACGACATCAGCTGTGGATGCACGAAGCAATAGAAAACACTGTTTGTTTGTGATTTCCGTTTATGCTCCCACCGACTGCAGTTCAGATGCTGTCAAGGACACATTCTATCACGAACTGAACGCGCTACTACACAGTGCTACTAGTTCAGATATTATGGTACTTGCAGGGGATCTGAACGCACAAGCACGGCGTCTGAGCTCTTCAGAAGCTCAGTTGGGTGGTAATTATGATCTTAACTCCGAACGGACTGACGACGGTGAACGTCTGCTGCAGCTATGTGCAGAGCACCAGTTGTTTCTTAGTAGCACTGCTTTTAGACACAGTGGCGTCCTCCTGTCGCTGGCCAGCGATGGACCCAAATTGACCACATAGCCATAAGTTACAGATGGCGTGGTTCCATCCTGGATTGCCGCTCGTACTGAAGTACCTGCGTCGACTCTGACCATACCCTGGTACCCTGTCGTTTCTCTATGAACTTTACCGGGAGGCGCACCAAGCGTCTTCTCTGATTGGCAACTGAGAAATTGTCTCAGCCCTCGGTCAGACAATCCTATCAAGACACACTGCGTATGCAATTCGCACCTTCAAAGTGCAAAGTGTTGCTGCAGGCCCACTAGCCACTTGATGACCGCTTGACGCTTGCCAACGAGGAACTCGAGGTTATTGATCAATTCACTTATTTTGGCAGCTGAATCAGCAACGATGGGCGCATAGAAACTGACATCAGCTCACACATTGTAAAGGCCAGAGCTGCCTTCTTGAACCTGCGGCATCTTTGGCGGCAGAAGTGAATTTCCCTTCGTCTGAAGGGCCGTGTATACAAGGCCACAGTGAGGGCCGTACTGCTCTATGGTAGTGAGACTTGGCCCCTTCGGTCTGAAGATATGAGGCGCCTTCAAGTATTTGATCATCATTGTCTACGAAGCATTGCTAGTATCTGA